ATGTAGTAGTAATATGGCCAAAAATAAAAACAGCCGTTATTCCGCCATCTTTGATCTGATTATGAAACACACTGATATGTATGATGTATGTGCCAAATACGAATGAAAATGGTACATACATTTTGGAAATATAGTAGTAAGGCCAAAAAGTCAGATGGCTGTCAATCGGCCATCCTTGACCAGATTTTGAAACAAATTGTCATGAACATGCATCCTAAGATGTATATAAAGTACATGTATGTGCCAAATTTGAATGAAAACTGACAGAGCACGTCCAAGATACCGCATAAAAAAACAAGATGCCTGCCAGTCGACCATCTTTGATCCAATTGCGAAATAAATCATGGATATGTATCCTAACATGTATAATCTATGTACCAAGTATGAATGAAAACTGACAAAGCATGTCCAAAATACAACATTTTCAAAAAACAAGATGGCTGCCAGTTGGCCATTTTGAATTGAATCGCTAAACCACTGCATGTGCATATGTCCCACATAAAGTACTAGGCACATGCAAAGAATGAACGGAATCGGTCCAAGGGATTCTGAGATATGACTCCGGACGGACGCACGGACGGAGACCGAATTATAAGTCCCCGTTTTCGAACTTCGTCTGAACGGGGACTAATAATCTGACATATCTATGTCTCATTTTAAACTGCGGTGTAAATTGTTCTATAATTTCTCAATTATGTTTTTATTCTCTAACAGACAATTATTGGATTGGTGTGAGCGATGTAGTCGGTGACAAGGAAAACTTTGAGTATGTTACTGGTGGACCAGTGATTTACACAGGTTGGTTGCCGCATGAGCCAAACAATCATAATGATCATGTTGAGGATTGTGTAGAGTTACGGTAAGACATATGACAAAAAATTTGAAATTTAATGGAAACTATTAAATATGTCGGTAGATATAGAGCTATGTGCGTGTAAAGCTGACGAACTGTTTTTTATACGAGTGCGTGAATAACAATAACGGTTTTATAGTAGTTCTATTTTATTATGTTTTCCGTATCGGAGGCAATTCTTAGTCACCTACTCGACGATTCATCTTTATTAATTACAGTGGGAAGAAAGGGTATGGATGGAATGATGCGCCTTGTAATGTAAAACGATTTCCTCTTTGTGAGTTTTAGGTAAGTGTTTTATTTATAACATTCTAGAAGCCCCCGTTTTATGCCTAAAAACGTGAATCAATGACATGCAATCCAATTATATCTATCTAGTTAAACAAGCTTTTAATTCAAGTGGCAATTATTAAGTGTTTAATTACACATTCAATGTCGTTTATTTGTTATGTGTTTTGTCACTAGACGAGGCAAGTAGATGGAACAGTTGGAAAATAAAGATAGACATGTAAGTTGGGGAACCAATTCTTTCATCAGTTTCATGTCGTAACATTTTAGCAGTCAATATAAATATTTGCGTATAGATATATACAAGAAACAAATAACAATGCAATTGGACATTGAACGCCATCTATGACTATTAAGAAATGCAAATGTTTTGTGTTTGCTTTCAGATGTGACTCTCAACGCAGTGGTCATGGTCGTAATTATTTAGTAACCTTCTCATTAAGGATCGTATAAGCTATCATTTCATATCTTTTTGGGGTTTTGGTTTTTGGATTTATCTTTTGTCAATCTTTGAATTGATGTTCAGCCAGTTCATGCCGAAGCTGAAAAACGGTAATAAGCTAGTCATTGTTCTGTTTGGAAACATCAGTCTGATAATAAAGAGTTATAATATGGTGTTTTGGGTTGCATTCATAATACACGTTAATTACATGAGTAGCCGGACATCGTTTAAGGTAGAGATGAAGTTTACCTGACATGTACTTTAATTAGGCAACCAAGATGACCTCCCTTGTCCACGAAACTATATATTTTCGGAAAGCTTATTGTATTTTTTTTATGGACACTGTAGTTTGAACTATGTACAAAAATGTGTTTAAAAAAAATAGCCTTTAAACCATGCCTCTGTTTCCTGTCAAAATTGGTTTACGGGTACATCTGTTTATTATGAAAAAAAGTGCCGTCTTGAAAACTGTCTACCAGTTGCAATTTTGCTGGGCAGCAGCTCAAATTTCATTAATTCAAGTTTATGCATAAATTAACACCCAGGGTACTTGTCTGTGTGAAACAAACAGTGTACGATAAAACCTACAATCTTATAGGTTTGTACAGATATTAGTTGGTAAGCGTTTGATAAATCCAGCCAGTGTACAGCCATCAGTATCTGTATGTACCTGTTTCATGCCTTGTCACCACCTCTTTCACCAGCATTTGAAATAATTTTGACATTCCGATCACACATTGCAAAACGTACTTTTGAAAAATAAATACAACAGACTCCTTAGAAATTCAGTAGAGCACAGAAAAATAAATAAGAGCTTTAGAGAAATCAATGCTGAATGGCACAAATTATAGAAAATTCTACATAATTTGTAGTACTGCGTGCATGACGACACAGAAGAAGTATTATTTTTACATTAATTACCGTGCAGTTTAGTGACATGAACCGCGCAAAGTAGGTAATGATAATGACAACTAGTTTAGGCTAGAACAACCAAACAGGTAGCATGTGATAATGATACTATATTAAGCATATATTGATATGTCATACATGTTAAAACGAACTCACGATATACACGTAAAAAGTTATCACAAACTCGTTATTGGGACAGGCTGTGCAAATGACTGGATACTTAGTATTACAAACTCATATGGGATTAGACTGTGTCTACCTGTGTTCTATAAAAAAAATTATGTTTCCAAAACCCAGAGCATTCCAATATTACAAACAGTTCATATTGTGTAATGCACGTGTCAAAATTCCAGAATGACGTCATTTTGAAGTTAAACCCCTGATGACACCTGGTTTAGTCCCGGTGATTGTTGCCCGAGAGCTTCACTTGGATGTCCTGCTTTAGAATGTACCCTGCTGACAGCCTTCGCTGGTTCCCGGCGTCCTTTGCGAATGGCAGGTAGGACGCAGGTAACTAGTAATCGCCATATTGTTCCATTTGGGCCGGTTTTCAGGCCGGAAGGAACGCGACTGGGTGACGTAATTTGAAAACATTCCAAGTTCCGTTTTGCGTAAACGTGTCTGTAATGCTACAATAAAGCCATGTTCATACATACTGCCTGCTTAGATTTACAGATTTGATATGTTCTGTGCTAATTTATAACAAAAGAAACAATTCTTTTTATTCGCCCAACTTTCGAAAGCAAAAGGAAACCCCTGAACGGCCACGAGCGTAAGCGCTGACGTCAGGTAACTAAGGGAAATGGAACAAGCAACGAGAAAGTGATGTACCAATCAGAATGCCGGAACCGTTACTAGTTACCGGCCTCCTGTGGCTTGGTACGCCATGACACTTGAGGCGGGAACCAGCCAACTGACAGCCGAACTAGTCTTCTCCAATCGTTGGGCAGGTTACCTGCTGCAGCTAGTTCAAGTGCTTCTCAAAACTTACCATGCAGCTATACCAATGGAGACTGCCACTGATAATGATCTATATTTTATGCAGGACTCTAACCATCAGCTCCTGCATACTGTGGACAGTTATGCGCATAGCCACGGTACAAAGAATTTGTTTAGCCGACTTGTTCTGCTTCTTTTGCCATCTCAGATTCTATTCTCAGAATAGCGACCACAATGTTGTTTTAGACTGTCGTTGGGATGGTAAATGTGTTCCGCGTGTCTTTGGAACATCAGCTTATGGTCTCTGTCCCTCACTTTTCTGCAGGTATCAGTTGATTATGATTCGTGTGTTTATGGCGGGTGTACCAATAGGTGATTTTCCGTACAATCGCGAGATCTCGCGAGATGTATGAAAGACGCGCGTCGAACGTCTGCCGCAAAAATCGAACGATTTGATTTTGAACTCGAATTTCTTTATTTCGTAGCTCACATCGACCGGCCGATCTTCGACAGGGGAATATTGCTTCCGAATACCCTCACTTAATCGAAATTGCCTATCATGAAATGTGGACAGCACATTATTAAGCATGGAAATGTCCCCGAAAGTACTTCGCGTTTGTCAAAATCCCACGCGATGTTTGACGCGACTACGACCTTTGTTTGTCCTGTTTTTACGTTCGATTTCACGCATAACGCGTGATTCTCGCAGTGAACGGAAAATGGTCTATTATGATTCGTGTGTTTAGGGCGGGTGTACCAATAGTGAAGCATGAAATGGCATAATCGCTTGGTTATATGCATCTTTATGGTCCATGCATCTTCTTTCACTGAATTGTAGAGCACTTTACAAGTCATTTGGTTAATAATCTTTAATAATAATAATCTATGGTTTAATTTTCTGGCTTAGCTGGTAAGAGTTTTGTCACCTGCCTACTGCTTCATAAACCAGTCACAGTTGGCAAGATAATTATGTCAAGTTACTTATGTAAGTCAGGAAACCTTTGTGAGGAAGGTTACTGGATGGAGGTAGACATATACATGTGTTAGCAGGTTGACACGAGAAATATGTCCACCTGTAATGTGCAAATTTGATTGGCAGTCATGGTCATGACGTATAATAATTAGCATTATCAGGGTTGGTGAGCCTTGGTCGCCACGCCAGGCAACAACTTATGTCATATGCATATTTCACTACAGAGTGTGACAATTATATGTTAATACAATACCTTCGCTGTATGATGCACCAAGACGTAAATTCCAGTATTTTGTGAATAAACTATTACACTTGATGGTTTTAATATTTAAGGAACAAGCAGCCTCTCGGCTGAGATAGCTACGCTGTTAGCATGCACATTTCAATTAAGAACTGAACAAATCTAAGAGAGGTCTACCTGAGGTTCTTATATGTATAGTATCAAAGCAATCGGACTTGCTGTTTTCAACAAGTCGAAAATATCACTTTTTACCAATTTTCATCAAAATTGAAGATATCATCACGAAATAAACACATCTGAGGGAGGTCCACATGTAGTACCTATATACGTAATATCAAAGTAATCGGACTTGCCGTTTTTAACAAGAAGTCGAAAATATAAAATTTTACCAAAAATATTCACGAAAATTAGGGAATTGAAGATATCATCATGAAATAAACAAATCTAAGAGAGGTTTACCCAAGGTACATACACACCAAGTATCGAAGCATTCAGACTTGTGGTTTTCAAGAAGTCGAAAAAGTACAAAGTTGACACGGACAACCACTCGTATGATAAGATCCACTCGACTAAGTCGACAGCGAAGCTAATACAAATATATACAAGTTGAGTTGTTCCGTAAAACACCAGGGTAAGATTAGTCAAACAGTATGCCCATGGCGCATGGAAATGCACGTTTCTGAAGAAAATACCATATAATGTCTGAGTTGATCAAAGAAGTTCTCGCGCATGTTAGAAGTAGAAATATAGGTAAATTTTACCATACACACACTGTCAACGTGTTATCATTATACCTTGCAGGTTAACTTCAGATGGCTTAGTATTTTATTATTACACCAAAATGTACCTTGGCAATTCAATTTACGCACCAAATGCAACAAAATCTCTGAGGGGAGAATTTGAACTCATTTGCATATTAGTAATCGACAATACCAATATTTTTCACTAAATATGCAATACTCGTTCATAATGATCAATATATTACACAGCACGTATCCTATAGACCATTCATTCATTCACAAACTCAAACACTACTCTTCATTTTATTGTGCTCTTTTGTAACCTAATAAAAATTGCAAGGTATCGGTAACCGACATGCGTATACAAACCAGAATTTTAATAAATAAATATATAACTTAAGAGATTTTCTCAAATTGTGACTGGTCATAACAAAAAAACAAATGAAAAACTCAACTTTGCACAAAATTATAATCCCGT